GGGAAAAAAATATTTAATCAATTTTAGAACAAGGCTGTAACGTAACAAAATGTGGAAAGAGGGAAGGAGTCTGAATACTTTCCGAATATACTGTAATATAATGATTATTGTTGTATAGAGTTGATTATTATAAAAGCTATAAATGGAAGCCAGAATAATATTGATTTGATAGAAGTTGTTGTCTCTCTCGTGTGTGTACAGAGAATGGAGGAATAACCTGAGGGGCTAGCGGAGCCTCAGAGCACCTGTTCGCTGTATGTGGTTGTCTTCCCTCCCTCGCTAGCCCTTTCTCTCTGGCATGCCGGGGAAGCAGCATATAGCCTGGATTCAGATCAGGAAACCAAGGATTGATGTTGGATGTTTCAGGTAAGAACTGTCTGAGATTGGGTTAGTTTTTCATTTCCTCGTACAGGTTGTGGAGGTGGTTAGTGGAACTTATAGGCTAGCAGCGGTGTTTCACACATCTGCTAGGATAGTGGACAAGCGCTACAATTTGCTGCCAAAATGATTAATCACTTGTGGTGAGGAAATTCTGAGCTCTGTAGCCTTGTTAGGTGTCGCTGTCCATGGTCCTGTACATGTAGAGGGTGCTGATGGCTTATCTGGGGTTGCTGTCCAGGGCAGTTTTATGCTGAAAGGACAGCTCCCAGGTGTGTCCCGTGCGGGAATGCCCTCTCTTGGCACTACACCTTATTCAAATGTAAAGTTAAATATGGAAATAGAATAATGACAATATTGTGTTGTTATACTGCAGTTGTATTGTTCCAGTTAGCATATCATCATACTTTATGTTTCATATTTCTCCACACTCTGGGACGCTGTGTGTGTGTGTGTGTGTGTGTGTGTGTGTGTGTGTGTGTGTGTGTGTGTGTGTGTGTGTGTGTGTGTGTGTGTGTGTGTGTGTGTGTGTGTGTGTGTGTCCATTCAGGAAGTGATTTGAATTAAAAATTCAGAAATTATGTTTTGGGGAAATAAATAGCTTCTACTTTTCGGTTTATTGAGAAGTCATTGAAAATAAATGCCAATTTTTTTAAATTATTGAATTGTAATTTTAGTTTACTTCCTGACTTGATTGCCTTCTATTCGAATTGAGCCCAACCCTGGTGTGTGTGTGTGTGTGTAGGTGTTTGTGGTGTACGTGTGTGTATGTGTGGTTCCTTGCACCCTTGCATGTGTGCATGTGTGTAGAGGTAGTGGAGCAGACACTGTGTACTGTATTGGATGTGCAGTCAGCCCTGAGCCATCCAGTTGTTTGGCATGTCATTAATAATGGATCCTAGAACTCATTAAAGCTGAAGTGACAGCTTGCTATTTACACCGGCTGGCAGGGAGAGAAAAATGCTTATGCACATTCCAAAAAAAATCTGTACTCCAGCTGTTTAGACCTCTTCAAGATAATGAAATGTTTCAGGAGTATAGAATACCAAATATATGATCAGAAAGTATATATGAGTTTGATAGAGTGTAGGTAAGGCATTAAAGGTTTTATGTTATATTGATGTGTAGGCTTACTTCATATGTGGTTATTACACTGTTGTAAAGTATTTACACTAATAATGATTGTGCAGTTGTGTAGGTATTTTGTGCTATAATGTTCATGATATTGTGTATGTAAGGGATGGTGTCCTACTGGCTGTGTAATCTAATCTTCAAGGTTTTCCCTACATTCTTTGTTGTGACAAGCATTACCTTAATAGGCTTTGTATGTGTGCAAATAGTTTCTGAATTAGTGTGTGTGGGTTTAGTGTGTGTGTGCACTTGTTGTTTGATTTAGTGTATGTGTACATGGTGTTGCAGGTCTCTCCCATGGGACAGACAGATGAACAGAGTGTTTGTTCCTGACTGTGTTCTCATTACAAACTACTGCTGGGAAGCATGACTGTTGTAGTCAATAATGAGTGTAAAGGGCAGGTGTAGAGTGAGGGCTTTTTGTTTATAAGACAGCACACACACACACACCAAAAAAAATTTTGATATGCTCACACACTCTTCCACACACCCACAAACATACCCCCACAAATGAACACATCCCTCTACTCTTTCATGCCAGCCCTAGGCTGCGGGAGCAGCACTAGCTATCACACCTTGGTGTTAATTTCCTCAGGTTTTGACAAGGAGCCTCAGAGCGAGAGAGAGCCTTGTTCTTTGTGTAAGTGCTTTTTCTCCTACAGCTTCTCCCTATCTCTGCAGATTAGTCAGGGAGTAAATCACCTGCCTGCACACAAAAAAAGCACAATCCTACACACTTTGCTGCCACGTGGCGCACAGATCTCCTTTTGAAGAGCGGCCATGTTATTTCCTCGAGCCCCGAAGGCTCTCCTGGCATGCAAATCATCATAAAATTAAATGTAAAACTCTAACATGTATTCTGGGGCCCTCTTCTTATCATCAACTGCACAAGCGGCATACAAATCAGGCTGGGATCAGACACCACGGTAAAGGTCTCCACTTAAAGAGCTGGCTAATTGCTAATTGGGTATGGAGTTGCGAAACGAGGTGCTGCTAACAAGAATTAAAATGTGGTGTTTTTTTTTGTTTTTTTTCTTCATTTCCAAATGTCTCAGCCTTCCTTCCTGGTGACATGCCTGGGAGCTGGAACTCAGTCAGAGACAAAAAATGTTTCAGGAAGGAAGGTTTCATAACGACTGTTTCTGTAGGGCAGCTTGTTGGTTGCTTCTTCCATACTGGACCCCTTCCCATACTGGACTTAATATTAATAACATTAATAATATTAATCCTGGACAAAAAAGCATTCTCAATGAAAAATGTCCATTAAAAGTGATTTTCAGTCTAGGACCAGGCTTAATGTGGGCTGGGAAAGGGCCCCAAATGTGTTCCTATATTAATTCCCTCACATATTTAACATTTTGACACATTCCCATCACAACACACACACTCCGGAAATATGTTTATATTGCTCTGTTATATTCTTTGCACTGCTGTGATGGATTGAAGTGGATCATGCTGCTTTTTCAATTGTAATAAATGTCATTAACACACTCCCTGTAGATACACACTGTTGAGTCTGTCTGCCTGACGATATCCATTACTGCCACCTCTTACACATAACACCAAATCACCCATGACATCCAGCACTGCCATGTAGCAGCAGAGACAGTTTCAGATTTGTCAACTGTCATATTATATTTGAATTTAACTAACAGCTTTGTTAGGCACTTGGCTTCTCACAGGTCTTCCTGTGTTGTTACTCTGGGTATAGTTGGGGAAGAGGGTCTTTAACAACGTTTTACCTCTATCTCCTTAGGGGAAAGTAAGGGAAACTTTTACTATATGTCTATATGAACCCTAAGTGGGCAGCATAAGAAGTCTATGAACCTTCAAAGGGGCAAAATAGTTAACGTATTAACCTTTGTAGGAACAGCTCAGACTGTCCTTATAAGCTGTAATAGCAGCAGCGTATAGAGGACATGAACCTAGGTAGCAGCATAACTATGAACCTACACAAGAGCAGGATCAGAAATATGTACCTTCACAAGGGCAACAGAGCTAACCTATGAGACTTTATAAAAGCTCATAGAGCCTTTTAAAGTTGTAATAGGAGCATCGCATGGAGGACACCCTGTATGAAGCTGTAAAAAGGTCATGGGTGCCCATGGGAGAAGCAGTGTTCTTAGCCTGGAGGTACAGCAGGGTGATGATGTTATATGTTAAAAATAATATCATATATAATTGCGTTGTACTTCTGAGGAATTGGCATTTATTCTCAAATCAATACACAAGTGCATCCTGACTGGTTGCATCACCGCCTGGTATGGCAACTGCTCGGCCGCCGACCGCAAGACACTACAGAGGGTAGTGTGTACGGCCCAGTACATCACTTGGGCCAAGCTTCCTGCCATCCAGGACCTCTATATCAGGCAGTTTCAGAGAAAGGCCCTAAAAATTGCCAAAGTCTCCCTAGTCATAGACTGTTCTCTCTGCTACCGCACGGCAAGCGGTACCGGAGCGCCAAGTCTAGGTCCAAAAGGCTTCTTAACAGCTTCTACCCCCAAGCCATAAGACTCCTGAACAGCTAATCAAATGGCTACCCGGACTATTTGCATTGTCCCCCCACCCCCAAACCCCTCTGGTGCTGCTATGCTCTGCTTATTATCTATGCATAGTCACTTTACCTACATGTACATATTATGTCAATTACCTCGACTAACCTGTGCGCCCGCACATTGACTCTGTACCGGTACCCCATGTATATAGCCTCGCTACTGTTATCTTAAAGCTGCTCTTTAATTATTTGTTATTTTTGTTTTTTTATTATTTTATTTTTATTAATTTTTTACTTTTCTATTTTTTACATAACACTTATTTTTCTTAAAACTGCATTGTTGGTTAAGGGCTTGTAAGTAAGAATTTCACTGTAAGGTCTACGCCTGTTGTATTCGGCGCATGTGACAAATTTAATATGATTTGATTTGATTTTAAGTCTAACAACACACTTCACATAGCGCTCAGATGGAGAACTGTGTATGACAACCAGGAAAGTATGTCCAATAAAGAGTTTACATATATTTTCCCCAGAGGCCTATGCATCTCTCATGTCCCCGTGCAGCGAGAATTATGTGAACACGCTGCATGGTTATTATCTTATAGGAGATGAGAGAGCACATATCACTGCAGATACACTATGGATCTTTAAAGCTGCATTCTCTCAAATCAAGCTGTTGGAGCTGTCAACACTGTTCTTATAGGCAGGTATGTGTGTGTGTGTGTTTGTTTGTCAGATATTGCGGTAATTACTTCCAATAAAGCAAGATCTGAAACCTTGTTACATATATCCCATGCTGCTTTTGAGTGGTCCAATATGCAGTCCAATACTGCAGCCTTTTTTGGGAGCGCGCTCCCTTAACCCACTCGCAGCGCTCGCTCCCTGCACCTTTAAGAGTGCCTGCCTAGTTGAAGGTCACTAAACACAAAGCTCTCACAGCTCTGTGGTCCAATACAGCGCATGCGCTCTGCCTGAGGACTGCTACACAGACTGCAATATGTCGAGAATGCCTGGCAGAGCAGACTGCTCTAGCTACACAGTGGGGACAGAGCGGGAGGAGCACATGAGTTGCCCGGAGACTGAGAGGAGCGGAGATGAGGAGGATGATGAGATCCAGGAGGTGCAGATCACCGGGGAGGAGGAGTACGGGGAGGATGAGCTGGAGTGGGAGGCAGAGTGCGCAGACCCCGACAGCTGCTCCGCTATGGAGACAGAAGCGGTCCTTATGCGTAGTACGGACCAGTGCAGCGGATTGGGACCGGGAGCGGGGGCGGACCATAGACTGTTTCACATCCCCGGACTGGACTCAGATCCGGATGGAGACCTGCAGCGGTCTGACCGCTCCAGACTGAGCGAGAACACCCGCCTGGCTACCAGGTATGCGGTGCGGATCTTCCGGGAGTACCTGAGCGAGAAATCCCAAAGTCCTGACTTTGAAACTCTGGACAAGGAGGCGCTGTGCGCGGTCCTGCGGTCTTTCTACGCGGAGGCACGCTCTAAGAGCGGCCAGCTCTACAGCAAGTCTTCTCTCATCAGTATTCGGAGTTCTCTGAACCGCTATCTGAATGAGCCACCGTACTGTCGCACCCTGGACCTCACCAAGGACCCGGAGCTGCGCAGCGCCAACCTGACCCTGGCCGCAGTCATCAGAAAGCTGGAGGAGCAGGGTGCTGGTCCCGTGGTGCAGAAACAGGCAATCACGCGTGCGGATCTGCGAAACCTCTACACCTCCATTGTGTTTAACATCGATACGCCGTTCGGGCTGCTCAACAAAGTGTGGTTCGAGACATGCATGTATTTCTGTACAAGAGGGCGAGAGAATCAGCGCGAGCTGGAGGAGGATTCATTTGGCCTGGCCATAGACGAGAATGGGAGAAAGTTTATCTATTTCAAAGCACTGGGGCCTTATCACAAGTCTCGCTCTGCGTGCTGGAATAAAAAGAGACCAGACACGGATGAAGATACTTTGCCGCGCATGTATGAGACGGGAACTGAGTTTTGTCCATATGCCAGCTTTGTAAAGTATGTCTCGAAACGGAACCCGTTGTGCAAAGCATTCTTCCAACGACCACGAGACCACTGTTGCGCAAGCGACATGACATGGTATGAGAACAAAGCCATCGGTAAAAACCTGCTGGGCACGAGGATGCAGATGCTGTCGCGTGCTGCCAAGCTGTCAAAGACCTACACCAACCACTGCATCGGCGCCGTCTCCATAGCAACGCTCAACAGCATTGCCGGTATAGGGTCAAAGTTGGTGTCGCTTCAGATTGCCTCGGAAACAGTCAATGGTGGCGTGCAGTCTCATCTCCAGCTCGTGATCCCGTACATCCGACAGGCCACAGACGCAGTGGAACTGAAGCCGCAGAGAACAACATGGAAAGCTCGTGCTCTCTGCCCCGGCGACGTATCGGGACCTCCCTCTCCTAAGAAGCTCTGTGTGCGTCCCGGAGAACGCGCAAAGTCCCCTGTGGTCATAGAGGACGGTATAGAGCCTGTGGACACCCGACCCCTGGAGCCCCACGGTCAGCCACCCGCTCCTTTACTGACTGACGTGGTATCCGCGCAGGTAACAGAGTTTCATACAGTGCACCGACAGAGATTATGCTTTTGAATGTTTGTATGTAATGCAATGCAGGATAACCTTACTTAAAGCGTAATTAATTAAATGTAATTAGTGCTTAATAGGTTATGTCACCATCTGGTCACACACCATTTTCTGTGTTAATCAAGTGTTTAAGTGTATAGAGACTTACATCATTTTCAATTTACTGTGAAAGTATTGACCTGTACGATGTGTGTTGGTTTGTATTGTGTAGGAGTGAGTTCGGTATTCTCATTGGGTGTTCTAGGTGCTTTAGTAAAGAGGTCATGAACATTGTGTGTGCGACTCAAATGGCACCATATTCCCTATATAGTGCACCTGCGTCTTGATTCAGTTTAGGAATCTAATGTTGAGTTTGTTAAAGGAGAATTGCATTTGTTTTGATTAAATGTACACATTTATTGTGGTGTTGAAATTGTAGTTTTTGAAATTGTAACCTGTAGTTGTTGATTTCTTTTTTATTGGAATGTCAGTGTTGAATTTGTTGTCCTCAGAGCACTATTGAAAATGAGACCCTGGTCTCAATGGGCTCCCCTGATTAAATAAAAGCTCAATAAAAATAGGGATTAGGGTGCCATTTGGGACGTGGCCTGTGAGTGCAGAGGAGAGCACACAAGTGAGTTTTCTTTGGGACTTTGTCTGTTGCTATGGGTTACTGTGCCCCAGGCCCACAGTTATTCACCATGCACCACAGTGGAGCCCGCAGGGGTATAGCCAGAGCGTGCAAGCTCACACACACACACACACACACACACACACAGCACACATCTCTTATACCCATTCGCCTAAAGCTCACATTTTCCTGAGACACAGGCACTATAATGAAACATAGTATGGCAGGCTGTCTCAAGTCTCTTTCCTCTAATGACAGTGTGTGTTTGTGTGTGTGTGTGTGTGTGTGTGTGTGTGTGTGTGTGTGTGTGTGTGTGTGTGTGTGTGAGTGTGTGTGTGTCCAGTCTCTTACGAGTTTCATGTTTTTGAGCCATTCCTCTAATGAGCCTGCCTGTTGTGTGGCCATGGGGAGATGGACATGTCTGCTGCATTACCAACAGCTCTGCTCATCCGATTTCTGCTTTATCAGCTACATCTCTCTCTCTCTTTATCTCCCTCTATCTCTGTATATCTACAGTATCTTACCATTTACTGTTTTCTCAGCTTAAAGAGGGAGACTCTGCCTGCAGCCATGGCTGTCTTTCGCTCTCACTGCACTTACCACAGTAAATGCTGACCAGTAGACTTTATAGCATGTCAGTTTTTCAGAAGTGCAGACTTTCGTGAAGCATTTACAAGGGTTTTTAAACCTTCCTCTATAAGGTAATGTCCTCACCTGTCTCAAACCGTCACCTGTATAGCAGAGGAGCGGAGGAGGCAGACTCCTATCTGTCTCTGACCTCCTTTAACTACACTCAGATGTCTCTTCACAACCCTAAGCTAGCCCTGATATACACACAGACTCTGAAAAAGGCAAATACACTCTTTGTCATGTAGTGCAGTGCATCATGAGTTCTATGCTTAAAGCGTTGACACAGTATGAATGAAGTCTCAGTCTACCACTCTTTACCAGTGTCCTGTCTCTACTTAGTCGCTCATGGAAGAACTCTGTAATGTCTCATGTGTTTAACGATTTACAGTATGTGTGACACATTTTCGTTGGACATTTGTGTACATTGGACAATAAAGTATTCTTCTTCTTTTTCTTCTTATTTTCTCCCAGGATAGCCGTAATAGCAGCATGGCCAGTAGGCCGCTGGTCTCCCAGTCCCCTGCCTCTCCGCTGGGCTCTGGGGGTATCGGGGGTATCCCCACCCCAGCCCAGCTCACAAAGACCAACGCCCCTGTACACATAGATGTAGGAGGACACATGTACACCAGCAGCCTGGCTACACTCACCAAGTACCCTGAGTCACGGTAAGACACACACACACATGTTTGAGATCAGCTACATTGAAGTGGATTGCACAGTCACTGATCTACCAATGACCTTGCATTCCAAATAACTACTCATTATGTGATCAAGATTGGTGATTTTGCGCCTCACCTTGCTCGGACTGATACATGCACACTCTGATGACAATCACAATGATGATATCGCCTTCCACCAGGATTGGTCGTCTGTTCAACGGGACAGAGCCCATAGTGTTAGACAGTCTGAAGCAGCACTACTTCATAGACCGAGACGGCCATATATTCCGCTACATCCTCAACTTCCTGCGGACGGCCAAACTGCTCCTCCCTGAAGACTTCAAAGTGAGTATCTCTGACCCTGCACTCAGGCCTGGAAAACCTTGTCTATAATTCCTTGCTGATAACATAGTGTGAAACTTTGTTGGTAATCTTTTTTAAAGAATCTGATGTATCATTGTGTATTTGTGTGTGTATGCGTATGTGCGTATGTGTTCCAGGAGTTCTCTCTACTCTATGAGGAGGCCAGGTTCTTCCAGCTATCCCCACTACAAGCAGAATTAGAAAACTGGAGGAGTGAGCGCGAGGCCAGGAGTGTGTGGCGTGTGTGTGAGTGTGTGGTGGTACGTGTAGCTCCAGAGTTGGGAGAGAGGATCACTCTGAGTGGGGACAGGGCTTTGATCGAGGAGGTGTTTCCAGAGGTCGGGGACGTCATGTGTAACTCCATGAACGCAGGCTGGAATCATGACTCTACTCACGTAATTCGCTTCCCACTCAACGGATACTGTCACCTCAACTCTGTACAGGTAACATGACAGACACTATCCTTACAATGCCACTGCTTACCATGAAAATAACAACCCAACATCCTAAATTAACAGATTACGTCACCTCAACTCACAACAGATAAGGTCACCTCAACTCATAACATCACATGAATCCACCTCAACTCTGTGTATGTAGCCTTAAAGACATGCTCCAGAACTTTGGCGACTACAAACTATTTTTTATCTTTGCGCTGGATGTGTCGAAGTGTAGTTCAAACATATATAATCTATGAGTAGAAATACTGTTTTACCTCAATTAGCCATGAAATCACTAGTTTGAAAGCAACAGAATAAGCTTCAGCCCCTCGCCATTTGAGTGACAGCTAGCAAGAGGCACATAATGCACACACAGCAGAACGAGAGAGAGCGCAATGACGTGGTGTACATATCTGCACATATGTGACGTAGTACGCAATGTTCGGGACCACTTTTGGCTCATGAGAGCTACTTTCAGAACTACTGGCTAAAAAGTATACAAAATCTCTTTAACTCCATACAGGTAACATCACACTAACCAGTACCCATGGCATAAGCATAGTATAACCTCAAATAACCTCATACAGGGCCAGACCAGCCAGGGGAAAGAGAGACTAATCCTGTTTAGATATGAAACATGTAGCCATCGGCTACTGGGTCTGCGACAGTCACAGAGAGAGGGAGGGAGAGTGAGAGTGAGAAAGAGACAGACAGAAGGAGGCAGAGAAAGAGAAAAACAGGGAGCGAGATGAGGCAAACAGAGGATTCTATTGTACTGCCTGCACCAGTCACACAGAAAGAGAAGAAGAGAGCGACAGAGCAAGAGAGAGAGAGAGAGAGAGAGAGAGAGAGAGAGAGAGCCAGGGATGGAGGCAGACAGAGAGTATAGAGGAACAGCTGCTCCTTCAGGGCATGCTAATGGCATGTCATCTTGCAACTATAGAAAGAATGTCTTCCAACCAAATGGCACATTATTACCTATTTAGTACACTACTTTTGACAAGGGCCTATAGTGCACTACATAGGGTGCCATTTGGGATGCGGCCAATATTATTATAGAAAAAGGGTTTGTGTCTGTGAATGCATTTGTCTGTCTGTGTTGTATGTGTGAGTTGTCATGAGAGAGGGGATGTGTGTTTTTAGATCAGGGAAGGACATGGTGTGATGGCTGGCTTCTGCCTGCTCAGAGACAAACTGTGAGCCCATATGGAAAAATTATATATTAACTATATTACAAAAAAATAAAAAAATATTGGAAAAATGTATTTAGCAAATATATAACTAAATAAAATATATGTACATATACAACTCCAGTCAAAAGTTTGGACACACCTACTCTGTCACGATCGTCGTATTGAATAGACCAAGGCGCAGCGTGATGAACGAACATGGTTAACTTTATTATCTTTAGTGATAATAGAAACAACAATCAACAAAACAACAAACGACTCGTAACGTCCTCAGTAACAATGACCAACACGGAACAAGAACCCACAAACACAAAGGGAAAACAGACAGTTTAAATATGGCTCCCAATCAGAGACAACCAACGACAGCTGACACTCGTTGCCTCTGATTGGGAGGTACTCTAGCCAACATAGAAATAAACACAACAGAATGAACACACCCTGGCTCAACATATAGAGTCCCAGAGCCAGGGTGTGACATACTCATTCAAGGGTTTTGCCATGTTTGAACTACACTTTGACACATCCAGCGCAAAGATAAAAAATACTTTGTAGTCGGCAAATATAAAATATATTTTGATTTGTTTAACACTTTTTTGGTTACTACATGCTTCCATATGTGTTATTTCATAGTTTTGATGTCATCACTATTATTCTACAATGTAGAAAATTGTGAAAATAAAGAAAAACCTTTGAAGTAGGTGTGTCCAAACTTTTGACTGGTACTGTATGTATTTGTAAAATATATGTGTAAAATACACACTCACACCTCATAACCTTCTCTACCCCGATGTTAATGTTAAGTCTCTATGGTACCAAAATGCCGTTTTGCATGCAAAAGTTCATTGAGTAGTAGAAAATAAATTACCTGCCACTTATGAAACGTAGTAAAAATAAATATTTCGAAAGGCACTTGAACGTAGAACATATCTGCAAACATATTTTAAGATATATTAAAAATATATTTTTCCCGAGCTGTCAATCACAATTTGAAACGTTCCCAAGCCCCACCTCCAACTGCCAGAGCAGCCATTACAATTTAGATTTTTTTTCCAGAAGAAGAAGAGCAGCTGCCACCATCAAAAAGCTTTCTTGTGGATAATGGCATTTTATTTGATTATACGTTCATAACATTGAATCAAAATATGTTTTTAACCTAGTGGGTGACAGAGGAAGAAGACAATTTATTCAACTGCAAGCAAGACTTTTCATCAATCTGCTAACAAATCTACCTAGCACCTTCTTTAGCTTGCCATCAACGTGCGGTGTGACTGATCAAGGTAAGAATTGTTTCGAAAGTTAAAGTTGATAAGAGTTCAGTAGAGTTAATGTCATGTATGTATTATATTTTATTGTATTGCCAAAGCTATTGTTAAATGTTCTTGGCCAACCACACAATGTATTGCTTGCTAGCTAGCTAGCTTAGCTAGCTTTAGTGAGGGTTGGGTATCTCTGATACTAGCTATATATACAGTGGGGAAAAAAAGTATTTAGTTAGCCACCAATTGTGCAAGTTCTCCCACTTAAAAAGATGAGAGAGGCCTGTAATTTTCATCATAGGTACACGTCAACTATGACAGACAAATTGAGAAAAAAAAATCCAGAAAATCACATTGTAGGATTTTTAATGAATTTATTTGCAAATTATGGTGGAAAATAAGTATTTGGTCACCTACAAACAAGCAAGATTTCTGGATCTCACAGACCTGTAACTTCTTCTTTAAGAGGCTCCTCTGTCCTCCACTCGTTACCTGTATTAATGGCACCTGTTTGAACTTGTTATCAGTATAAAAGACACCTGTCCACAACCTCAAACAGTCACACTCCAAACTCCACTATGGCCAAGACCAAAGAGCTGTCAAAGGACACCAGAAACAAAATTGTAGACCTGCACCAGGCTGGGAAGACTGAATCTGCAATAGGTAAGCAGCTTGGTTTGAAGAAATCAACTGTGGGAGCAATTATTAGGAAATGGAAGACATACAAGACCACTGATAATCTCCCTCGATCTGGGGCTCCACGCAAGATCTCACCCTGTGGGGTCAAAATGATCACAAGAACGGTGAGCAAAAATCCCAGAACCACACGGGGGGACCTAGTGAATGACCTGCAGAGAGCTGGGACCAAAGTAACAAAGCCTACCATCAGTAACACACTACGCCGCCAGGGACTCAAATCCTGCAGTGCAAGACGTGTCCCCCTGCTTAAGCCAGTACATGTCCAGGCCCGTCTGAAGTTTGCTAGAGTGCATTTGGATGATCCAGAAGAGGATTGGGAGAATGTCATATGGTCAGATGAAACCAAAATAGAACTTTTTGGTAAAATCTCAACTCGCCGTGTTTGGAGGACAAAGAATGCTGAGTTGCATCCAAAGAACACCATACCTACTGTGAAGCATGGGGGTGGAAACATCATGCTTTGGGGCTGTTTTTCTGCAAAGGGACCAGGACGACTGATCCGTGTAAAGGAAAGAATGAATGGGGCCATGTATCGTGAGATTTTGAGTGAAAACCTCCTTCCATCAGCAAGGGCATTGAAGATGAAACGTGGCTGGGTCTTTCAGCATGACAATGATCCCAAACACACCGCCCGGGCAACGAAGGAGTGGCTTCGTAAGAAGCATTTCAAGGTCCTGGAGTGGCCTAGCCAGTCTCCAGATCTCAACCCCATAGAAAATCTTTGGAGGGAGTTGAAAGTCCGTGTTGCCCAGCGACAGCCCCAAAACATCACTGCTCTAGAGGAGATCTGCATGGAGGAATGGGCCAAAATGCCAGCAACAGTGTGTGAAAACCTTGTGAAGACTTACAGAAAACGTTTGACCTGTGTCATTGCCAACAAAGGGTATATAACAAAGTATTGAGAAACTTTTGTTATTGACCAAATACTAATTTTCCACCATAATTTGCAAATAAATTCATTAAAAATCCTACAATGTGATTTTCTGGAATTTTTTTCTCATTTTGTCTGTCATAGTTGACGTGTACCTATGATGAAAATTACAGGCCTCTCTCATCTTTTTAAGTTGGAGAACTTGCACAATTGGTGGCTGACTAAATACTTTTTTTCCCCACTGTATTTTTCCCTCAAGTGAATCCTTCTGGTCTGGAGCCTCAGCTGCCTATGGACAGACCCCAGCCAATGTAAGTAGTATTTTGTATCATTTAGCTAGCTAGTTCTCAATGAAATTAAAATGTGTTCATGAAGATTAACCCCTTATTTATTCTTCATCTTGTGTAGAAGTGTTTCACTGACTCTCTGTCTCTGCATTATCCACGGAGTAACTGCCAAGTTGTGAGTCTGAAAATGGAAACTGGAGGTGAAGGAATCTGCATTGTAAGTATCAATTTGATGTTCAAATACATTATTTTCAAATACAGATGTTAACTGCACAGACGTAATTTGTACATTATATTTTGTGTTTCAGATGCAACCTCCCAGTGACTCCCATGACACAGTTTAACAATGGACCAAGTTATTTTAGCAAATAATAAAGATTATTGAAAGCACACTTTTATTTGTCAATTTATCAGTCAATTGAAATAAATTAAATTAGGCCCTAATCTATTCATTTCATATGACTGGGAATACAGTGCCTTGCAAAAGTATTCATCCCCCTTGGCGTTTTTCCTATTTTGTTGCATTACAACCTGTAATTTAAATGGATTTTTATTTGGATTTCATGTAATGGACATACACAAAATAGTCAAAATTGGTGAATTGTTTCAAATAATTCTAAAAAATAAATAACGGAAAATTGGTGCATGCATATGTATTCACCCCCTTTGCTATGAAGCCCCTAAATAAGATCTGGTGCAACCAATTACC